AAAATTGGGATGTTTCTCAAGCTAACAAAGATCGGCAAGAATGCCAAATCCCAGAGGGGAAGAGAGAAGAAAGTATTGCTGATCTAAGCCCATCCGAGGGTGACAAATCCACGTCTTAGCCTACTTGCGGGTAGCACCATCAAACCATTTTTTTCAAAACAAGCATGAAATGTTTTGTTCCAATTCAGGCGACCCAGTCTATACTTGTATGCTGTGCGCATCACATATTAAATCTAGGCTAATAACCGGAATAAGAACGCATAATGTTTTCAAAAATAGATATCATGGTTAGTAGAGGCCGATCTTTGATCGGGCAAGCGGGGGTGCTCACAAAGTGACCTTCCCCAATCGTACCCAAGTTCTCGAGCCGAGGCAACTTTGGTGATGACGAACACGTGGCCTTAGGCAACGAGTCAGGGTTTTTTAAATTTCCCAAAAATAAAATATTTAGGTGGCGACTTTGTATCTGGCAAAGCAGTCCATGTTTGGCACTTCTTTCAAAAAAATATGTTTTCTCAAAACGATTTGCTGGATTTGGACTTTTTCGTTCAAATTAAGAACCGTGACAATTTGAGTCTGAACTGTAGTGAGCCCAAATGAACAAAACGGGACTCATCCTCCCGGGGCGTTCGGGGACGTCTACAGTTCTGGCGACTCTACTAGGGACTTAGAGAACTTGACTCGAACTCATGATATCTGTTTTTTACTGCACTTATGTGTTTCTTTGCATTGCATGTGCATTGGTGTGCCTAGGACACCGTGTTTGCCATCTGCTATTCCTGAACGGTTTGCCGGAGGCTTGTCTTGTCAAGGCATGACCATAAGGCTGACCGGTTATAGGCTCTACCAGTATGGGAACACAAACCCCGGTTTTATCGGGGCACCCTTTTGACCATTCAACCTAGTGCATATTCGGAATCCGTAGTGACCATTCCAAACTAGGACAGGTTGCTTACCCGTTTATAGGTTGTTTGAAACTGCTGCGTGCGTAGTGAAACCGTAGTTCTTGACAAAATAGGACAGGGAAACCTTACCCCAACATAGGGGTGTTTTGGCTCTCACTTGTTTGTTATGTGCTTTTAGAGTGCGTCTCTATACGAATGCATGTATCAGTTTGCAAGTTTGGGCATTAGGCCTGCGGGCACTAGTTCAGTGTTTCTGGGTATCAAGGGCCTGCGGGCACTAGTTCAGCATTTTCGGAATCAGTTATCTGCGGGTATCAGATTCAGTTTTGGGTAGTGATTTAAGGATAATGATCAGTGGTCGAATACAGTTATTCAGCTTTGTTTACATCTGTTCTGGTAAAATCGGGCTGAGATGCTGCCTGTTTTCTCATTAAGGGGGGATCAGAGACTCGGTTCAAAACAACCAGTGTTCTCCTTTGCTGAGGCAAGACAGGAAAAGGCTCACCGGTTCATCAGATCCGTCAGTCACCAATTCGGTCTATCTGATCTGTCTGTCACCAGTCCGGTTCATCTGATCCGTCAGTCACCAGTCACATCACCTCTGTTCAGTTCAACAGACTCGTGATGACGTAAAATTCAGAAGAAATTGTGGTTATGGCAGCCGCAATAGACCAAGGAATCACATTGCAGGGTGAGATCGACGTTGAAGTACCACACCCACCTAGGTCACCTGCCGCGCACCCGGTCTGGACACCCCAGTTGTTTCAAGCTCGTGAGCCCACCACGTTTGAGTTGATGGGAATGATTAGCGACCTTCAGAGATCTGTGGCTGATCTAGCCTACGGAATATAGGCTCCACCACCAACCACATCGTATGCCGGGAACTTCATACCGGAGGAGCCCCCGCTGCTGGGACGAATTGTAATCGAACTTAGCCAACCTGAAGCCATCCCAAGTTCCGGCAATGGCATGTCGACAACAACAGGGCTCCACTCTGATGTAGCAACTCAAACCTTCGACCAAGCCGAGGCGAGTGGTAAGAACAAGATGAAGGTGGACACCGATCCCTACGAACAACTCCTGTGGGCTGTTGAGGCTTTAAAAGCTGGAGGATTGAATAAACAGCAGGTGCTCGCTGTTGCTGTAAAAACTGTAGATGACATCTTTCCCACTCAAGCCGAGAGCAGTTTAAGCCAGAGGGAAAATCGAGATGGGAACCGTCATACCAGAATAGTTCCTTCCAATCCTAACCCTGCACCTGGAAAAGATCAGAGAGCCAAGGCAGCACCTGCCGACCCTTTTTCAAGTGCATCCAGCAAAAGTCAGTAAACTTCGAAGTATCCGCCCCAAGGTCGCAGGGTCTTCCATGCCCTCTACATGCCTTTGTCTAAAGCCCTTCAAATCCTTGTAAAAAAAGGGCATCTCAAACCCCTCGAGCCTCGGCCTCTCCTGAGTCCCCTTCTAGCTAAGCATGATGGTACCCAGTACTGTGCATACCACCAGCAAACTGGTCACAGCATCGACAACTGCTTCCGTCTTCGCTACGAAGTACAAGATCTGTTTGACAATGGGGCTATCCTCCCGCCAAGCTCGGCGAAGTCTACCACCACTGGGTCAGTGAACTTCGAGGATAGTATGAGTATGTGATCAGGGGTTCGACCACCTATGGGCGGCGTGCGGTTTACCTCGGATATGGCGTATGGCACGCACTATTTTAAGCATTTGCGAATGCTAGTTTTGTAGTTTCTGACTTGGGTGTTGAGTCAGTTCTGTAGTTTTGTTTTGAGTCTGTCTCATTGTCTCGAGTCAGTCTTCTTGATTAAGGGTTTGTCTTGTTATATCGAGTCAGTCCTGTTGTACAAAGGTCGGGTGATTCCGGGGGTTTTACCTCGGGCATCACCATTTTGTTTTGTGTTTGTCTTTTCGTTTTGCTTTAAGTTTGGTCCTGCTTGGAGCTAGTTACACCAACAAATTTGAATGGAACAGCAGTAATTTTCAC